TTATATATAATGCATATAAATCTATATATAATATATAGATAAAATTATATATATATATATCATATTAATAAATATATATACCAGTCAGTTCGGCTAACCAGATTTTTCAGTCAGTTCAGTTTTTTGGTTTTTCTTGAGCACCCCTAGGGTTGGCTAGGTGAATCCTGCCCCACCATTTTGCTTAATTAATGACTTACTTTCCCTAAATCTAGTAATATTGGACCTCATGAAAATAAAAACATCCTGCCATGGCAATTAACACCAGTGATAGTGCAGATAATGGCTTTTAGCCTTTTGGGAAGAACTGAGCCTCAGAACTGAATGCCTGAATCTAAACAAAAGCAGCATCAAATAAGCATAAGTTGGGCACATTAAATTTTGTGAAATCAGAGTTTGTTGGGTACTTGTACCAAGGTAAGCTCTGATTCATTTGAGCATATGCACAACGCGTCCTTTAATGAAATAAACCTCACGGAGAAACTAAAAACAATTCAAGCTTGTGGAAGTGAAGAAACAAATTCAAGTGCAAAGAATGGTTCAGATTCATCCAAATTCGTAAATGTTTCATCTTTCCTTAGAAAACCACTGATCTATAACACATATATTGAACAAAGGCACATGACTTTCTAAGGAAAATATAGATATCGATTCAACACAAGTAACAAGCTAATAATCAATAAAAGAAATAACACACACAGGCAAGTAATTAACAGGGAAAAATAGAATAACGTACAGCTCCAGACGACCTCCTCAATGTTTTAAGGCAGTTGACACAATTACATGGCACCCAGAACAGGTCACTTCCGGTGTCCAGTGCCACCAGATATGACAAACTTGGTGTCCCCAGTGAAACATTGGCATAATGCAAACTGGATTTAAAAGCACATAACATACGATCAACACACAAATTTTCTTAATCGACCAAGTGACCTTGGATTGTAAAAACAATTAAACTAATTAATTCAGTTAATAAAAATGGTTCAATCGGACTGCTACTCGATGAATCCATAAAATAAAAAGAGAAAAAAAATAAGGACCAAGGAAAATGTGTACGGATTAAGTAAATGAAACTAAACGAGTAAGGGAATCTGAGCATACAATCCCAAGGCATTCTGACGAATGGTAGTGTTCCCATTGATGAAAGTGAGAGACTGATTATTGTCGTTGCTAGCAAGTCCGCGGCCTCTAATAAAACGGTCTCGATGGACCAAAGCAGAGTAGTAATCAAGACTTCCCTTCTCTGGCAAGTCGTCGACGGGGAGAACTCCCTTGACGGGGTCCGAGAACCTGTGGTGAATATCGAAGCCGAAGGTCCCGGAGCCATGGCAAGTCTGCAAACCGAATGCGAAGATAAACAAAAACAAAAGAGGAGAAGATTTACAGGCAGGTCTAGAAGTAGAAGCCATGGCTTAGAGGAGGAGATTCGTCTGAAAGAAACTAGAGAAGAAAAAGAGTAGAGAAGTGGAAAGAAAATGAGGAAAGATATGACCTTGAATATAGAAGAATGGACTCGGTCGCACCTGGCGAACTAGGGAGTTGGAGAAGGGCTGACGCCAACTTTTCTAGTCCGCTACAAAGTTGAAATCGTAGTTTCTCCCTCCCTCCGCCACCTTCAGACTTCTTCTGTTTTCGTTTTTTATTCGATTTTATTTTTCTCGTTTCTAAGCCTGGCTCTGGCTGGTGAATCATGAATGATGAGGGGAAAAGAAAAAACACGTCTCCCTCCACGCGCGTTCTCTCTCCACCTTCTTGTCTTCTTGTGAGAGAATTTCAAACTTTCATTCCTTCGGTTCTTGGGCTAACTACGTGTCGCACGGAGAGCGGCTTGTTGACAGTCAAGGCTGTCGATCATGGACAGCCAGAGTTTTGGCAGCGGGAATTAGGTGGTTTACAAAGAGCCCCATGTACTACGAGGCTAGTGACAATTACCCCCTGATCTTTTACTTTGTAACAAATATCTTCGGCTTAGAGTTCATGGGTTAACTTCGAAAAATATTTTCATTAAGCTGTTTAATTTGAATGATTTATATTTCGATTAATTTCTATATATAATATTGAAGTCCTCTCAAATGCTCTAATAGATCACTGCAGATTTTTATTGAATTTAATATTCAGATCAAATGGTAGAGGTTTATTTCTAATAAATATAATTTTAAGATTATATTTAGTTTTTTCTTGGTATATTGGAAAAGTAGTGGCCAAGTTTATATTTTAAGATGAAGAGACATTCATGAGAGTGAAATAAAACAAGAATTTAAAGAAATTTATTTTACTATGTCATTAAAATGATTCTTATTATTTTAGTTTGAGGTATTTTGGGGTCAATTAAGCTTTAAGAAAAAATTACAAGAAAAAAAAATAGAGTTCATGTGGATATTTTGATAATTTAATATATTTTATCATCTAACTTAACAATCAGAAAGGCATCTAGTAAAAGTTAGATGGGGTAATTGAGGGTCGTTTTAATTAGAATAATTAGGTGATGGTTTGAATTTGGGGTAAATGTTAAACAGTTGTATGCCCTTAGCTCCAATCAGAATGATATACATTATGAATTTGTTGTAAATGAATAAAGTACATATTTGATTCATGTTCCTGTTGTGTGTTTCTGTGTGATACCATTAAACTGGACACTTATGAGACTCGTGTTAGTTTATCCTGCCAAGGCTAACACTGGTGTGCTGCCAAATGTTGGGGTGGCTTGTCTCAGATGCTAGGGTGAGACCCAAGGCACATGCAGTGTAGGATTAATTGAATCTTTGAACTGGATCAGATTTCCAGAATTGCCCTAGACCTTAGAAATTGATGGGCAAAACTGGAAAGTTACACCTGACCCCTAGACTCGATTATGATACTGCACTAGGTGTCGGATTGGGCTGTCTTTGATATGCCA